GCGCCGCGACCCCGCCGCCGCCGCGGGTGCCGCCTCTCCCTCCATGTCCTCGTCAGCATCTTCCCCGCCTGCATGGGTTTGCATGCGCATCCAAAAACCAGAGGCGAGCTGCGGTCGAACTGCCTTGATTGTGATGCTGAAACGCCGCCCGCAACCTTGCGCACAAAGCGCACCCAGCGGCTCGCAGTGGGGCGTGCCAGCCCCACAGCCACGCGACCCGCAGCCGCAGGGGCTGCCCCGCGGTTGCGCGCGACCCCGGCACGGCAAACCACCGCAAAGCACTCCTGGGCTCCACTGAGCAACCACGCGCATCCGAGGCATGCAGGGGGGGGGGCGGCAAGCCAGCGCATGCGAGAGCCAGCCGCAACTGAGAGGAAACCAATCAAGGTCCCTCAACTCGAACCACCCCATCCTCTCGACTCCACCCGCTGGAATTCAAGGGGACGAGGCGCCGGGGCGCCGGCGCCGCCCCCTCCGCACCTGCCGCGCCGCTGGCAGGCGCCGCGGCGCCGGGGCCGGGGCTGGATCGGAACCAGGCGTCGGCGGCGCGGACGACGTTGTTGCCGTTGCGGATCAGCAGCATTCTCAGCTGGCCCCGCGGCACAGAGGGGCCCAGAACGGCTGCGAGCTCATCCACCCGCTGCTCGGGTGATGGGGCCGCTGGGGCGGCCGGCGCCCCCGCGGCGCCTTCGGCAGCGAAGTGGGCCTGGGTGCGAATTCATGCGGCGGGCGGGTCGGTTCCACGGAGAGATTCGATATAGCTGCGGGCGGCGCGGCGCGCCTCGCAATTTGCGAGGCGCGGCGCGCACGCTTTGGCGTGGCGCGCACCTGCACAGCAGACTCGATGGAGCCGCCGGCGTCCGCCAGCAGCTGCGCGGCCCTCTCGCGATCGACTTGGCCTAATATCTCCTGCAGCTGGGCTACTGCTGCTTCGTTCTCAGCCATTGGCGATCGCAAGCCCCGCGAGGGCCGTGCGCCCGCTGTACTGCTGTTCTAAAATTAATCAAGAAGATATTACGAGGTGAATGCGCCACAACTGGCTGTGAAAGTAGAATGGCGCGAAACGATCTCAGAGGTGGTCACAGGCCACTTCAGAATGGAGCACCTTACTACCACCCACATCTAGCAGCTTACTGCTGCTTCTGAGGAACCATTTCATGCCGGTTCAATCTTCATGTCACTGCAGCAGTTGTGCAACAGACATTACTATCGCCTGATTGCAGTCATCTGGTGGGACAGCCCATCCATCAATTTCACCTGTAGTAATCTGAGGCATACAATGCAATTGCTATGCTTAAGCAGGTACATACGTCCACCGCAGACATGCACCGACCCTTGTGATGACAAAATTGCCTGGGGCCGCCGACGCTGCAGCAGACAAGTCTCCCTGAAACGCAATTGACTACGGCGACTCACCCAGATGGACGCTCCTGAGGACAAAGGATGCACCTAAGCACATGTTTCCGGGCTGTACTAGTTGGCCAGGCATGTGTTTGTGCCAGCGGAGGTGGCAGCGCCAGCCAGGCAAAGCATATCAGCGGCCAGCAGCAGCAGCAGCAGCTGCTGCAGCAGCAGCAGCAGCAGCAGCAGCAGCAGCAGCAGCAGCAGCTCGTCGTGTTGGCGTCGGGGCTTTCAGTGTGTGCAATGCGTGCATGCGCAATACATGCATACGCAGACCGCCGTCGCCTGGCCAGGCAAAGTCAAGACATGCACGCACCTGTGACTGCCCAAACTGCTTCTCGACTAACGCACAGCATTGCATGTGGGCACTACTCTGGGCTCCTAAGCAGGCAGCTTTGCCCGCAAGCCCTGGTTGCCTGAGCTATCGACACTCCTAGGTCCGCAAGCAGTGGTCGAGCTGCATCGAGCGCCGCATTGATGACCACGCTCATACACGCTCGCCTCGCCACGCACGCGGTCAGCGCCGTTGCTTACAGTCTGCGCATAGCAGGCAAACGCGAAATTGAGAGACAATGCGGGCAAAGCAGGAGGGCGGACGCAGCCCCGCGCACGCATGCAGAGCACCGGTGCGCGGTCGGCAGGTCGCAGCGCGGCGGGGCGGCGGCCAAGACTTGCTTGCGACGTGCTCAGCGGAATGCAATCCATATTGACGAATGTCGACGGCGCGGCGTGCGCTCCGCGGGGGCGCTGGAATTACGGACCGCGGCCGCGACAGGGAGCGGCGCCACCCACTCGCGCCCACGGCTCGCGCACTCGCCTGGCCCCTCCACCGCCTGCGCGGCACGGGTGATCAAGCAGGCGCATGCAGCGTGTGACGCCGCTGCAGCCGGCACTCCATGCAGCCCAGGCCTGGACCTGTGCGCGTCCCGGCTTCAGGCCACGCCGCGAAGGGCTAAGCCTGATAGCCAGACAACCCTTGGCCCAGGCGATGGGCAACGCGCAGCTGTGCAAAAATAAATCGCGCTGTGCGAAAACAGCGCGTGTCCAACTGCCAACCCAGTCAGGGCAGCCTGAACGGCTGGGCCCGCCAAGCGGTCGGTCCTGGGTGCGTACGCGTCAAGCAGGCACCCCTGATGAGCGCACACCCGATGGGACGGGCAGCGTGCGGGACCCGCCTCGGCTCCGATTTGGGCACCCATGGCCGCGGCGCCGCGCGTGCATGCATGTGCGGCCAGAGGGGGGGGTCCACCACCCCTGCTTTACAGGAACAGGGAGAAGCGCTTGTGGCCGCTCTTGGGCGCCGGCGACTTGGCCGCGGGCGCCTTGGCGGCGGGCGCCTTGGCCGCCGCGGGCGCGGGCGAGGTGGGGCGCAGGCTGTCCTTGGCGTCGGTGGTCGACAGGATCCCGCCCTTGTCGGCCGCGCTGGGCACAAAGGCGGTGCAGCCGAGCTCGGGCTGCTTGGTGCCGTAGGTGCCGACGTCCTCGGGGGTCACGCCAAGCTTGGCGTAGGCGGTGCTCAGGGCGCGAGCGGCCTTCAGGTCGATGTCCTTGGTCTTGGTGGGCTGGCCTGCAGGGCGGGCCGACACAGGGAGGGCGACACAGGGAGGGCGGGGGTTGAGCCAGAGGGGGACGGGTGTGGAGGCTGCGACTCGGCCCAGGGCGCGAGGGGCGGGCGGGGGCGGGGCGTGCCTGGGGACAGAGCAGCAGCACGAGCTCTCTCTCTCTCACTCTCTCTCTCTCTCTCTCCTGCTGATCATGTCACTGACAGTGGGTATCTGAGCACGATGCAGGTTTTGTGTTTCATGCCCTGCTACAGCTCCCTGGCTATCCCTGCAGTGAGTATGCCACCACCCGCGTGCGCCAGGCGGTGCGTGAGAGCGGAGCCGCACCGGGGAACAGCCAGTAGTCCAGGGCCTGGGCGGCGGTGGTGTTGGCAAGGGCGATCCAGGGGGCCACGGTGCGGAAGAAGCCGTACGCCTCGACCTGCGGAGAAACAAAGGGGTGAAAGCGGGCATGAATGGCAGACAGCATGGTCAGCACAAGGTGCGCTTGTGCGGCTGGGGGAGGGCCTCTAGTTGCAGCCAGGCGAGCCGTAACAAGCGGCACCGATGAGCTGACTGGCACGCGCGGGCGCCTCGCTGTTGCGCACGCGTGTCACTTGGAACAGCAGGGCACAACGCACGGGCGTCGCGTCACGCGTGCATCCCAGATGGCATCGCAACCACTTCCGCGCTTGGACGCATCACGACATCATGAACGTACACCCACGCTCACAACAACGCTGGACAGCAGGCGTACAGACGGCACTCGCACATGGGAAGTCGCCTCACACCACCCTGGCGCAGATAAAATGGTCTCAGGATTTGTATCAAGTTCAGCTCACCTGGTGCTCGGCGGCGGAGATGTTGGCGGCGTTGTCGAGGTACATCTCGTGCGCATAGGTGATGATGGCCTGCGCGTTCGAATTACAAGTGCGGCGCGTTTGAACTTTGAATGTGGACCAGTCGGCGCCTGCGCAACTGGAGGGGCCAGTCAGACGATCCGCCGCTACTCCCCAATTCTCCCTCAACCTCCAAATTGCATACACTCAAACACACCAACTGCCTGCAAATGGTGACGGGCAGCTCGCCCTAATCATGCATGCAGTTGGCTCTGGCTAGTCAATGCCCTACCGATGCCCGCCCAAGCTTGGCGATTAGATGTTCGGCCAATCCCAGGGCTGCCCCACACCCTACAATCCTAGGGCTGCCCAATCACCTGGAAGTAGTTGGCGGCCAGCTGGGCGCGGACGGTGTCGCGCGCCTGCTCAAGGGCTGTGGCGTTCTTGGCCTCGACGCCGGCCTGGGCCTTCAGGAACGCCTTGAGGATGTTGTCGGCCACCTTGCTGCGCGGGGGGGCGCGGGTAAGCAGAAGAAAGGACGCGCGCGAGGCAAGGGAGGGGGCGCGCGTGTCAACGGCCGGGAGAGACGCAAGCGCGGCGGCAGGGGTGGAGTGGTGGACGCGAGGGCGGCTGCGACCATGGCATCCCATGGTGTAAAACCCTCAGGCAGGGCGGCCGAATGCATGGTCCGGACAGGATTTGAGAGCTTTCGCACCTCTTCTCGCAGTCGACCTTGGTGCCGAACTCGTTGGCGCGCTTGAGCGAGACGGTCCACAGGCCGCAGTTGGGGGCGCCGCCGACGTAGATCGCCCAGGCGGCGTCGAGGGCGTTGAGGGCGGCCGCGCCCTGGCCCTTCCTGCAGTGGTAGCGGCGGGATCGCGCGCGGGGCGGCATGAGTGGCAGGAGACGAGGTGCGAGCATGCGCAATCACGCACGCGAAGCAAATCGCGATGAGCCCTACTCGCCAAGTGCAGCCATGCGCGGCGCATGCAGCTGTGCGCGCTGGGGCGGCAGCGCACTTGAGCAGCGAGATGGCGTCATCGAGCTTGTGCATGACGGTCGCCACCTGCGCGCATGGGGTCGCGCAACGGTTGCAAAAAGCGGTTGTTGATTGCATGGCGCATGCATGACATGCGAGGGTCGCACGCATCAGCATGCGCGGGCTGCATGTGCTTGAGCTCGCTTGCATGCACGAGCTTTCCACGTTGTGCACAACATGCACACATGCATGGGCTAAAATCACACGAGGCAGGTTGGACACCACCCATGCGAGGTTGCATGCGGAGGCTGCGGGACACCGCGCACCTGCAGGCTCGACTCCAGCGACTTGACGATCAGCTGCACGCGCTCGACGTCAGTGGTGAAGGGCGCCAGGCCGCTGAAGGCGCGCTGCAGCACGTCGTCCACAAACAGGGGAGTCTCTGCAGGGCGGTTCGGCATGGGCAGGGGTGGCGCATCGTTAAGAGTCTGGGGTCGGGACAGCCGCAATGAGGGGGCTCAGGGACCGTGAACGCTGCGGCGGCCCGCCATGCCGTGCCCAGCTTGCATGATGGCAGGTGCAATGGATGCATGCGGCCAAATCACGAGGAGATGCGCGCCGCGCATGCGACATGATGGTGGGTGCATGGAGGGTGCATGAAGAGGTGCATGCGTGGCGGCCGGGCCGCGTATGAACCCACTGAAGTACTTGGAGTAGAGGCTCCAGAAGGGCTGGTCGTAGTTGAGGCCGGTGGCTGCGAGGTGAAGAGGGGGCGGAAAAAAGTCAGGGCCAGACGGCGCGGCCGCTGCGATGTCGAGAGATGGGAGCCGGCGCGCTACAGGGCACCCCGGCTGCGCCGGCGCTGGCGTCAGTCCATGCATGCGGGGGCGTGCCGGAGCCCCATCCCGGAAGACACAGCCTGGCCGACGCTGCCAGCGACCAGGAGCAGCCAGGCTCACCGAGGCGGCGCATGCTCAGGCCGCCCTTGGCGTTCTTGCCATCCATGTAGATGGACTGCGGTTGTTGTGACACACATGGCAGGCGCGGCGACGCACGTGCGGGCGGGCGTTATGGTGGGGTGGTGCCCGTGTAGTGTGGGGCGCCGAGCGTGAGCGCATTCCCCCGGCTGTGATGCCGCACCCCTCGCCGCAAGCAGGCCTCGGCTGGCCTGGCACCAAGTGCTTCAGCTTTGCAGGACAGGATGCTGAAAAGCAATACATACACCACAAGGCCCGCAGAGCGCGAGGTGCGCCCCTGCGGGCACGCGCAGCCACCCATGCATTCGAGGCGAGGAGCAGGACAGGGCAGCGCAGGGGGCACTGCGCACCTCGGCCTTGCTGTATGCAGGGGTCCTGCTGTTCAGTAGTGCGCGGATGTCGCAGATGTCCTGGGAGATCCCCAGGTAATCTGCGGGCGGGGCCGGGCGACGGGAGCGGGCGGATCAGGGGCATGGTTATGCCAGATCAAGGTCGAGCTGGGGCGGGTGGCGCCGGCCGGCCCGGGGTGCACCGCGCTCCCCTCGCGTGACGGGTCACAAAATATTCAGAGCAAGGCGGTTCCTCAATATACTATACGTGAAATGACCGTGGCGCCGCTGGCATGGCGCATGAGGCATGGCCGGGAGGCGGGTTCCGGAGCAGCAGCGCGCCAGCACCGCACGCCAGCAGCGCGCACCCGACACATCCGAGGAGAACTTGAAGCCGCGCAGGGTCGTGCCCTTGGTCCCCTGGGCTGCCGCCAGGGCCACCAGCGCGAACGCCGCCGCGGCGAAAAGCACTGCGGGCGGGCAGCGAGCACATCACGCCATCGCTGGTTAGTGGGGGGCGAAGGCCACTCGGGAGTGTGCCGCCGTCGACCAGGGCCGGGACATGGCCCTCCGCGGCACGGGGGCTGCCAAAGGCTGCCAACATGCTCCCCGAGTTCCCCCGATGCTCTTTGGTTGTCTGCCAGCCCGCCCAGCGAGCTCACCACCGGAGGTCCGCATCTCGTGGTGACCTAGACGCTGGTGGAGCCCAGTGGCTTTAAAAGAGAAAATACGAGCGTAACACTGATGCCACAAGTGCTGGGGTGGCACTGAGCGGGGCCGTGGAAGGAAACAAACGCAGAGGCACCTGATAGGCGCGTTGTCACTAGTCGGAACGAGGCGTGGCGAACCGGGTTGTGGGCGCCTTGAGGGAAAGTGGACGTGGAACTCTTGCTCGTAGCAGAACGGCTATTTCGCTCACCCGCAGAAACACGCCCTCAACTGTCGGTGGAGTGACCCGGCGGCTCTCGTTGTTACTGATCCCACCTTCGCACCCTTCCGTGGCCCGCACCCCTCCCATGGCCGCGGTTCGGCCCCTTCTCCGCCTTTTTGCTGCTAAGCCCTTGACATATGCCCCCATATGCCGCAGTTTGCTGCCCGTTCCGTCGCCAACGTTCTGTGGGTCGCCGATCTGACACAGCTCGCCTTTCATCGCCTGTCATCATCCCAGATAACCTGGCGCAGGCCAGCTTGAGTGCCCGGTGGTACTATGATGTTTTGCGTGCGCTGCTGTCCTCGTCATGGCGCAGATCTTTGCCCTGAGCGTGCGGCCCAGCACCAACCGTCAAACCCCACCGTTAGGCTCCGACGCCTGCACGATCACAAGTCAGATGTGTTGCAGGCTATAAAAGGCTGCCTTGGGCGGCCCGCCATGATGACCTTCTGAACAATGCAAGATGTTTTGATCCAAGCCAAGGCTGCTAGCGCGCACGAGCCCTGCAGCAACCATGCCGTGCCAGCATGCATTTTTGTCCGCCCTGATCAACATCAGCCTGCTGACTCGGCCGCTTTCATCGCTATCCCGTCATCGCTGTGTTGCGATCTGCTGCATGCCCGCCCTTCTTTCACCCCACACACCCTTCAAGTAGGATGCTCAGCACTCAAGAGTGCCGCATGGGTTGGGATTGGTTGGGAGCGATCTCGGCTTATGAAAGCTGACAGGGCCATCCATCCATGCCGTCCAGTAGGAACGCGGGGAGTATAGACATCTGATAGCACCACATAGTAGTCAGGTCATAAGTCACACCCGTGGGCAGAGCGGCTTGGCCTCACTAGTCAAGTGACTCCGTGCCAGCTTGTCACCAGCCGTTGAGCGCAAGGCATCCCTGTGGGCCCACGCCAGTCTCCACTCCGTTTTGTGAACGTCTTGAAAGAACACACACACCCGTCTCTGACTTCTCAGGCACCCCTCACCGGCCCTACCGCGGCTACTTCGAACGATGCGGTCCGGCCTGGCCCTCGCGGCCCTCGTGGCGGGCCTCTTGCTGGCACAGCCGTCCCAGGCCCGCCAGCTGCGCCAAGTTGGCTCGGCTGCGCCCCCAGGCGTGACCGGCCTGCAGGGCTACGGCGGCAGCAGGGGTGGCTTCGGCTTCGACAACCCCCAGACATTCGGCACCGGCCTGGTCCGCGGCGCCGTGGTGACCTCCGACGTCGGCGCCGCCACGTCCGTCGGCGCCATCGAGAGCGACGACACCCGCGGCGCCCAGGCCGCCGCCTACGCGCGTGGCGTGGGCCGCGCCACTGGCCAGACGGCGCTGGGCCTGCAGGTTTCCTTTGAGAAGGAGAACCAGAGCCAGGCCACCGCCGCCGGTGACGCCATCCGCAAGAACGCCGGCTACCAGGGCACCTCGTTCGCAGGTGACATCTTCGCCGGCGACCGGTTCGACGACTCGGCCGCGGGCCGCGCGATCCGCCGCACCCAGGCGGACAACGCCCAGCTGCAGGCGCGCGCGGGCGAGCGCACGCAGCGCTACGGCTCCAACGGTCCCTTCGACATCTGAGCGGCCAAGCGCCGCGCGGCGCGGGCCTCGGGGCCGGCGGGCCGGCGGGGCAGGGGCCGCGCCGGG